GGGGGGGGAGATAAGATGGAGATCTTCTCCCCCCCACCCCACCTCATGGTTTCGCCATGCGTGCAGCAGCTTTCCCAACCCTGTTCGATCCGTCCCCTACATGGCAATGCCAAATTAAAAAAAACGGAAAAAAAAAAGCAAAGAGATTGGGGGGGGGAGATAAGATGGAGATCTTCTCCCCCCCACCCCACCTCATGGTTTTGCCATGCGTGAAGCAGCTTTCCCCACGCTGTTCGATCATGTGAATGGGAGAGAGAGGATAGTTTCCCATCACACATACCTTTGCGAGTCATCACGGAATCAATGGAGGGCACAACGCTGCACTCCTCTTCGTTCTTATCTTCTCTACTGCTTTCCTTTCGTCTATCCTCCTCTTATCAACTCATCAACCATAGATACCTTTATGCTCAGATGTTCATGTCTCCCCTATCGCAGCTTTGTACTATAATCTCCTTCTCTTCTTCTGTCTTGGCATCCCCAAATGAGGCAGCGATGGAGAACAGGCCCAACAAAAAAGAGGCCGGTACCTTCATGTTCTTGTGACCACGCAAAGAGGCTGCGATGGAGAACAGGCCCAACAAAAAAGTGGTCGGTACCCACCGCGAAAGAGGACGGTACCCAAAAAAAAAAGGCAGGCCGGCACAAACGAAACCAAGCCCGGTACCAACCGAAAATAGTCCGGCAGTTTTTTTTTTTTTTCGTTCTTCTCGAAGGCCCAGTGCCCTTCTGCCACCGTTATTCAGATTACCAACCCTTGCCCAGAACAGACACGTCATTCGCGACAGTCCTATGCCACCCTGCGTCCATTCACCAACCCTGCGCCTACCCCGACGTCCATCCGCCTGCCTCCGCCTGCGTGTGCCTGCCTGCGTCGGCCTGCCAGCGCCAGCCTCCGCCTGCCTCCGCCTGCGTGCACCTGCCTGCGCCTGCCTCCGCCGGCCTCCGCCGGCCTCCTCATACATCCGCCTGCCTCCGCCTGCCTCCCCGCTGCCTGCGCCTGCCTCCGCCTGCCTGCGCCTGCCTCCGCCGGCCTCCTCCTGCCTGCGCCTGCGTCAGCCACCCTCCGCCGGCCTCTGCCTACCTCCGCTGGCCTACAACGACCTCGGCCTACCTCCGACGGCACAAGGTACTCTCTCTCTCTCTCTCTCTCTCTCTCTCTCTCTCTCTCTC